ATAATTATAGATAGTATATTGAGATTCTGGTATAGATTTAAGAAAAATTATAAAATAGAATATAGATTATTCCCTTTTCTACCCATGGAGGTGATTAATAATAATATTGATGATATTAATATTAGAGGTTGGATACAAAAAGGTATTACGCACATTCAACAAATTATAGACGCAAAGGATCTTAAGTCATTTAGCCAGCTACAGGTAGAATTTGGGATTGAAAGTAAGGAGGTTTTTACATATTTGAGAGTTAAGTTTTATTTGACGAAATTCTTGGATATTCAGCTTAATAAAAATATAAGTAACATTAAGAAGATTATGGAAACATATAGAACTAAAGGTCATATTTCTAGATGTTATGAATTCTTAAAGCTATCCCAGAAGGCTCCTCTTTGGAAATCTAAGAGTAAGTGGGAAAAAGATTTACAAATAGTAATCTCTGAACAAGATATGATAAATGCGATAGAGAAAGTTAATAAATCGGTACACTGCTTGAACATAGTAGAGAATTTTTATAAACTCCTAAATAGATGGTATATGGTCCCAGAAAAATTGGCTAAAATGTATCTAGATCAGAGTTCTTTTTGTTGGCGATGTGAAGATGCGAAAGGAGATTATCTCCATATTTGGTGGCATTGTACAGTTTTAAGTAAAATATGGGAGGAGGTATATAAGCAGATTTATAACTCATGTCAGCTAAATATACCTTTTACACCACAAAGTTTTTTGTTACATCTGGGATGGCCTTCTATGTCCCCTGAGAAACAAATGTTGATAATTCATATTTTAATGGCAGTAAAGTTAGTGGTGGCTAGAAACTGGAAAAGTAAAAAAGAAATACAGTGGAGTGAAATCAAAATACAGGTAATATATCAATGTAAGATGGAAAAGGGATTAATTTTAGGTAACTCTGTAGGTTTGAAGAAATACAGTAAATGGGAAATAATGGTTGATAACTTTATTACTAACTATTAGAACTTATAATTCTTAGGATACGAGCCGCCCAGAATGTGAGACTGATTCTCGAGGAACTTTAGTAACAATGTACCTTATGGGAAGGACGGGAAAAGTGGATAAGTGTAGGATTGGTTCCCCGGGATTGTATGTATGTGTGAAAGTAAAGTTTTAGGTATTTTTATCTACCTCTTTTTGCAATCTATGTGAACTATAGATATGAATATTTATATTCGTTGTACAATGGAAATGTTGTTTATATACGGAAACATATTAGAAATGTAAATGTTGCAATAGAGGAATTGATTGTACTATGTAAATTGTGAAATCTTGAAAAAATAAAAATATATAAAAAAAAAAAGAATTTTTAATATAATAATTAGAAAAACAAACAATAATGTCCCTAGGTATATCTGCCGCCAGATTCTTTGGTCTGCGTAACCTATGATATCGCTCAAATGGAAATTCTCCAAGTGACAACTCAGGTGATAAGTTTTGAAAGAAGGATTTCAAAAATTGATCTAATTGATCATAATTAATCGATTCAGGAACTCCTCTCAATTTTATGTTGTTCCTTCGAGATCTATCTTCCAAGTCGGTAATCTTTGTCTCCAGGGCTATAATCTTCTCGTCCAGTTGATTATATTTTAAAGTTAAATCTTCATTAGATGATTGGATTTTTTGAAGAGTGTCTGCCTGATTTTGCAGTATAGAGGATATATTGGCTATTTCCAGCCTTAATAAATTGGAATTGTCTTCCAGATCATGTTTTAATTTCAAATATAGAGCTTCCAAAGCTTCATTTAGGGTTTGTTGGCTGGTATATTGGAGAGTTGCTGAGAGGGATTCTGGAGTTAGTGAGGCTGATTCTCTACGATCTCCCAGAGATGATCGTTTAATTAGTGATCGCTCTTGAGATTTAGGTGAATAAAAGGAATTTATATTTTTACTTTTATCCATGTTAACCGTTGTTGTTTTATCTTTATCCTTATCTCTTTTGGGAGGCATATTTCCTTGTCTTTCTGTTCTCCTTTAAGGCTGTACCTCTGTCAATATGAGAGTACTGTTGATCTTGCAAACAGACCCCTCCAATAGGTGAGGCTTTTTAAATGTAGATAATTCCAAGAAGGGAAAAACATTTTATAACTGTCAATTTCTCACCTTCTTTCAATCTCAGTAATGAAAAACTGTGCAGTTATAATTTCCTCGTAGCAGAAAAAATGTTAAGAATCATCTTATAATAAACAGGGAGAAAAAAAAAAAAGACTGCAAGTTAATTACAAGCCATTACCTCCCTCCAGCTGCTCCCCTACTGTGTTTTAACTCCAAGTTTCAGCAGTCTTCTATCCCCGCAGCTGATAATCATCTAAGAAGTTCAATCTCCTTTAAGGCAACGCCCAAAGAGAGTTTGGTTGCTAACACAGTTTTAAGCCCTACAGATATTTGGAGCGTTGTTTAAATAGAAATTTCTGCCTTCCCAAAAAAAAAAAAAAGGAAACCAGAGAACAGTTTAAATCTGTCAGATGGTCTCACCATTGAAACTGTTACAATTATAGCTCTCTCTCAAAAAATTGCAACAATCTGTCACTATAGTAAATAGTTGCTATTGAAGTTATCTCACAACGTGGTATAAGATTCAGCATATAGTACAGATCTCCAGCTTGTAATACCTATTTCCACCATTGCTGTTTAATTACAGGCAATAACCTCCCTCCAACACTCTTCTCATTCCAGTTTCCAGCAATCCCTCTCAATTAGTCCCCAGAAAACTTAGCTCCATGGAAAGATTTAAACAAGGTTGGAAATCATCATAAGTTTGGGAAATAAAGTAATGATTTTTCATCCGCTTTTTGCAGCACTGGTATATGATTTGAAAAATCCCCTGTACCTTGAATCATAAGTCTTAGGCAGTTCGGCAGTGATCATAAAACAGCAGAAAGCATGCCGCGAACCGCTTCCACAGAATAAATCAGGCAGCTGCAGCGTTAGGTCTCCGCATTGCGCCGCTCTTATGCCGCTTCACCTCCTCCTCGCTCCGGAGTCTCTCAGCCACGGGAGCGCGCGCGATCACGTCATCACGTCTCCCCCAGAAACTGAGCTGTACTCAATTTTCTTGCAAAATTTGAAAGTGCATATAGACTTGTTGCTAATTTTCCTGAGAATCAGTTAATTAATGAATTTGTGAAAAAAATTCAAGATCTAGATCCAACTGCAATTGTGTTAGCTAGAGAAAAAAGCACTTTGACAGAAGTAGCTTTGTTCTTGGATAACTTAAGGAGAGTAACCAATAATGAAGGGGTTAAAATGACTTGTGGATTTAGGCAGAGAAATTAATGCAGATTATACACACCTTCTTCTTCTTCTTCTTCGTGGACTCAGTGTAAAAGAGTGATACAGACAGCTGAGCCACTCCCAATTTGTTCAAATCAAAGGCAGAATATAAACAACATTATTTAAGATCTTGCAGATATTTTATCCGAGATATCAAATCAAAAGCAAATGAGAAATTAAATTTGTTGATTGAAAATTTTGACAGAGAAAATACATGTGGAGATAAATCAATTAAAGCTTTTCCTTGTAAACTTATAATCAGACAAATAAAAGCAATTTTAGCTAAATCGAAATTAGGAGACAGACAAGCAATGCAGCGTAACACAGAAAGTTATAAGAATCAGATAACTTCAAGAGATATGATCAGTTTAGGGAATGAGCATGGATATGTCTGCCAACAGATGTACACAGGCTGATTCCAGAATTAAAAACAGCACAAGAATAGAGATCTATGTTAGTTTGTTGTTTGAATTAATTGTTAGTCTGTGCTGTTTTTTCATTGGTTTTATATGTGTTATAAGAAAGTATTAGGTTAATTAAAATAAAAATTTAAATCAAGTTTGCACATATGGCAGAATGAAATACACTAATGTAGCAGTGAGGAACATGCAATGTTATATTGGGTGTATGCAATTATACAGTAACTCCAATCATTTTACAGAAGAAAAAACAATGTTGTTGCTTCTGAGGTTGATTTAAAATCTTTGATTTAATTCATGAGAATGAGATTTTAATGTCATGACTGATAATGGATTACTATATTTTGCAAAACCTGGACATACACATGTTTTGGATATACTGAAGACAAAAGGAATTATATATGGGAATGGATAAGGCTGATTTCCCCCTATCCACAGCCACGCCTACTCCTAAAGTAACATCGCGTACATCCTTACTATGCCCTTTTACTGTAGAATTTCCCGAATCCTAATGACCAATTCCACTACATGGTGTGACTTGTTTAAGCCTAAGATAAATTGGCTGATCAGGCTACCTGTATTAACAATGTCATCAACGATGAGTTAGCATCTGTGGAGAAGTATCACTTCAGGTTGTCCCAAATTTTCTTTTAACTTAAGTTTTTAGTACATAGTAAGGCCCATGCCCAACAACTATATGCAGCCTTGTATAGCAGGCCACATGACATCTATTTGTACCAAGCAAGGCCTGCCTGACTCCTCATTCCTGTCTAATATTGTTGTCTCCTGCATAAGTGTAGATGGCTCTCCTTGGAGTAGCCTGTTAACTAAGCCTTGCTTTGTGGTTACCTTCACCTGTCCAATTAATCTGCTAGGTGCAGATGTCCTTCCCCCACTTGCAGGCCCCTATCACCTTATTATTTCTTTTGTTCCACACAGTGAAACCTGACCAAGAGGCAAAGGTCCTAGCTAGTTCCCCCAATACCTTTACCTGAATTATACAGGCCCCGAAGCCTGTCCAAGCTCTTACTATTCCCTAACAGGTTAAAGCTCTGGTGTCGAATGGTGCCCTGGTTACCTGAGACTTTCCATGCAATATCCCACCTCTCCTTGTGATGGACGAATTCTGTGCAGGATAATGTCACCCTGCAGGGATGATACTCTATTTACCTGGCCACTCTTCTGCCACTTCCCAGGGGGGGAAATGATAAGACACTGACTATTATTTATTTTTTTAGCCTTTTTCTTATGATCTGTTCCGGATTTGCTGTCACTACAGTGGACCAAGTATCTCACCTCAACAATGTCTGCACAAGAAGTTGAGCTATAGGCTCCTATCACAGCATGCAAGATCTCTGAAGGAAGACTGATCTCAGAGAAAGCATGTGGCAACTCTCTGGCTGACTAAGTTGTTCAATAAGTTGTAAGTGCACTAAGGGAAGTGGACAGAAAAGTGTCTGCTGAAGAAACTCCCATATTCACCATGTAAGATCCTACCCACAGACATCAAGCTCCCGAAGGAATAACAAGCAAGCTACTGACCCTGGAAAGAAAGAAAAAACAAACAAACCACACGCTGGAAACAGAAAGGTGCAACTCTTAAAGACAGGCTGTACTTCAACAATCTCAAGTTCTACTTGCCCAAGAACATATACTCAGCAGTGGTCCAGTGGGCCTACGGAGCATCTGTCCAGAACCCTCATGAACTCTTTTGATCAATAAATACTCTGAAGTACCAGGAATTGCCTCTCTGACCAACAGTTATTGTAAATCTTGTGCCATTTGCGCCAAGGGCAACTCAGGAAGAATGGAGGAAAGCCCCAAGCATCTAGCCAAACCTCATTATCTCTTCCAGAGGAGTCAAGTCGACTACACCCAGAATGCCAAAGAATGGCTGATTCAAATATGCACTAATTATAGCAGACATGTTTTCAGGATGGCCAGAAGCCTATCCAGCCACCAAAGTGATAACCAAGACCACATGCTGAGTAGTGCACTGTGAAAGTTACAGAGATCACCCCGTGGATTCATCATTCCAGAATCAAGCCTGCCTCTGCATCATGTGAAGTAGCATTTGTTGATCTTGACAACCCTTTTTGAAACTCCATTCTTAGAGAACAAAGATACTTGTTGAAAATAAATAAATAACTATCAACAAGTGGGTGTTTTGATGGCCATAATAATGCCTGACCACCTGCCATCGATGGAAAGCCAAATACCCCAAAAGGGGACCTCGTGAAACTAAAGAGAAATAAACATACTCCTTACCCTGCAGCCCTCACGTCTGAGGTGCCATACGCACAGTCAAAGCTTCTTCAGGATCATCTGCTTATCTTGAGTTTGTGGTGATATTAATATTGAATGTTTAAATGATCTGAATCTGCCAGTACTAGGGTAGCATGAGACAAGATTTCTAAGAATAAGTAAATGTGCCCTAGCCTAGGTTATTATGTCCATACACATAACACATGACAATCCCCAAGGTACTCTTGACACACCTCATTCATGCTTCAGGACAAAAAGGAGTACCCCTATAAAGGGTGGTTTTACCCACACATATATATATATATATATATATATATGTATATTAATGCCATAGGGGTGTCAAGGGGGGTACCAAATGATTTTAAGGTAAGAAACTAAGTTTGAATCTATTCTCCCAAGCATTACGGCTAATAAAATCTGAATTGGAAGGGAAGAGGTTTATACAATAAACAGGAGACCTTTTTCTTACAGGACATGTATGACTCAGCTGAATGGGTAGGTGCCACGCACATGACTGTTAATCCCCTGAAACCACACATTAGGACTTTAAAAGACATGGTAGTCATCCCATATTTGAGGATAAGAGGGCTGTAGAGACAGGTTTCTCTGACACTAACTTGTGACTTGAATGGATGAAATACAATGCTACTAAACATAACAAGTCTAACTGCTATGTCTGCAGAGGAGCGAGGCCTCACCCAGGTACAGTATCCCTGAACCTTCCTCCGGATATGAAGTATGCGTTTTAAGTCTCTACACTGTATTTAAACCTAAGCGGTCAGCATGTGAGTCATGGAAACTTAATACCCAATCATTACTAAAAATATTATGCCCAGACGAAGGCATTACTATATATCCCGGGAACTATACTTGTTATGGGATATATGGTAGGATAGGGCGGTTACAAGCTACCTCTCAGATGACCTTCCAGAATAGAATAAGCTTAAAAATGATTTTGGCAGAAAAAGGGAGAGTATGTAAAATACTCCCAGACACCATAACGTGCTGTACCTATATTCCAGATAATACAGGCCCTAATGGTAAGATAACGTTGGCAATAGAAAAGTTAGAGAGTTTGTCCAATGAGCTGAAACGAAATTCTGGGGCCGTAGATCCATGGGAAAAGATGGTTTGGATGGATGACTGGATGGCAAGGTGCTCTGGCCCAAATAGGTGTTGCCATTTTAATAACGATAATCATCCTCGCTCTTCTTGTTTGTTGTGTGTTACCCTGTCTTAAGAAATGCCTACAAAAGACAGTTGATCAGACAATCGACCAGACCACCCCGACCTTCCTTCACCAAGAGATTGACGACATCGACCGTGATACACCACATACACCCTTACAGTCCCACCGCACTAAATCAACAGCTACTTCCTCTTAAGGACATTTAGGGATAGCGTCTGTCTCTACGGGCAGAAGTCTGCCGCGGGAAGAAGTAGTGGACAAGCTGCTATGGGTTACCCTCGCAGTGAAGTGTTCGAGGCCTGTTCAGACAGATGTGCAAGATAGCCTTTTGTTATTTTTCTATAGGGACAGTATTAGAATGAGAGATAGTAGTTTTAGTAAAAATTGCCATTTTAAGGGGGGACTGTTATGGACAGATGAATTAAAATAAAATGGCTATTTACTAATGTCTATTTATTCTCTGTTCACTATGTTAAAACTGGCTTCTAGAGTAAATATTCCCTTCCCCCCTACAATGTGTTCAGCTGCTGTTTACTATGTAAATTCCTCACATCCTGCTAGCCTCCCCCACTACCTTTGTGCCAGTTAACAGCTATATGCCACGTATAACAAAATGGAGAATCAGTGGTTTAGAACTGAAAGAAACTACTCACTCCCCCTCCCATCATGTATCCAGAAGTCTGTAATGATGACACTACATCCTGTAGGGGGGTTTAGACAAGAACCTTAGACTGTTAACCAATTGGTGAATGTATACTGTATGTTTAAACTGTGACGTATTTTTGCTTTAAGAAGGAGCCCCCACTCCGGGGAATAAAGCATTCCTGGGTTTTTCACTGATCAGAAACTTTGTCTCTGGTGTGAATTACTTCTAGGGAAAGCGTGCACGCATTAATCAATCAATTTGGAAGGTGTAGATAGACAAATTATCAAAGTTTTCTTTGATCCAAAACAATGCTTTCTGTCCTGCTATGGTTCTGGGTTCTCCTAGTTTTGTCTTGTTTTCATGTATGGTGTCTATTTCTAGTGTTACCTTGCTCTACTAGTTCTGTCTTGTTTTCATGTATGGTGCCTACAGAACTTGCCCAGTTCTCCTAGTCTTGTCCTGTTCTCATGCATGGTGTCTATTTCTAGTATTTCCTTGTTCTCCTAGTTTGGTCTTGTTTTCTTGTATGGTGCCTTGCTCTCCTAGTTCTGCCTTGCTTCAGTACTGGATACATCCCTGCTGCAGAGCCTCCCTATTCAGCTCCTTGGAGGTCTGCTTAATTATCTGCTCCTAGTTCCTGGGATCCGCATAAGCTGAATCAGGGTTCTGGTATGTGGCTGCACAAACGCTGGTGCTCAACACCAGGGGGCGTGCGGTTACTCTGCACCAGACCCTGCCAATCCATCTCCACACTGTGACTCCTACTCTCAACATCAGGCATAATGGGTCCCGGTCCACGCACCGCCGCCCGGACAGTGTCTGGGTCCCGGACCGCCACCCGTGACAGTATTCACGTACTGACAGGTTCTTAATGGGTGAACAAGACATTTCTTGTGTTTTAAGATCTGAAACAAAGGCTATTACATATTCAGATCATGCCCCAGTGATTATACATATGGAGGAGTCCTTTCTGTTGAACTCGAAGAGGCTATGGAGACTAAGCAACTATTTAATCACAAACGTAGAAAATAAGACATTAACTGAGGAAGCGCTTATGGAGTACTTTAGAAACAATTTGACCTTAAATATTCATGCTACTTCTATATGGGACGCCCATAAAGAAGTCCTGCAAGGTCACTTTATACAGCGGGCCTCATATCTGAATAAAATTAGATCCAAAAATTTAAGAGAAATTGGAGAAAGAATTATATAATCTCAATCAGGAAATAAATTTGGCCCTTCCACCTCTCTTGCAGCAATGATTTTGGAAACTAAAGAAAAAATTGCGGAGGTTGCGGAAACTGAAACAAATTTTCTACTCGAAAGGCAACAAGGCTTCTTCCTTGTTGCCCTCGAAACTTCGACATAAACTTTCGCAGTCTAGGATTAAGAATTTGTTGGCAGAGGATGGTGTTAAATTTACACATCCGGGTTAAATAAGCAACACTTTTGCTGCCTACAATTAAAAAAACCTACAATTTGGCATTAGTTCCAACGGTGCAGCAGCCCACATTGGATAAATTTAATTATTTTCTAGGTAAAATCCCTATGAAACAAATATGAACCGACAAATTGGAAACTTTTTAAATTCTCCCATATCCCACAAAGAAATTATGGATGCTATTAACATGATTCTGGTTGGCAAGGCACTGGGACCTGACGGTTTCACAATGGCATATTATAGTCCTTTTCAATTTTTTTAGCTCCTCATGTACTTAAGTTATTTAATCTAATTTAATTATTTTCATGCCGGAGGAGGAGTTAAGCGCCCAAATTATAACATTACCTAAACCTGGCAAAGCACCTAATTTGTGTTCAAATTTACACCCGATATCACTTATTAATAACGATACTAAAATATCCACCAAATAGGTTAGCTCAAACTTATAAAAACATAGAATGTGACGGCAGATAAGAACCATTTGGCCCATCTAGTCTGCCCAATTTTCTAAAATACTTTTTAATAATTAGACTCTTATATCTAAGAGAGCCTTATGTCTATCACACGCATGCTTAAACTCCTTCACCGTATTAACCTCTACCACTTCAGCTGGAAGGCTATTCCATGCATCCACTACCCTCTCAGTAAAGTAATACTTCCTGATATTTTTAAACCTTTGCCCCTCTAATTTAAGACTATGTCCTCTTGTTGTGGTAGTTTTTCTTCTTTTAAATATGGTCTCCTCCTTTACTGTTTTGATTCCCTTTATGTATTTAAATGTTTCTATCATATCCCCCTGTCTCGTCTTTCCTCCAAGCTATACATGTTAAGATCCTTTAACCTTTCCTGGTAAGTTTTATCCTGCAATCCATTAACCAGTTTAAGTAGCCCTTCTCTGAACTCTCTCTAAAGTATCAATATCCTTCTGAAGATACGGTCTCCAGTACTGCGTACAATACTCCAAGTGAGGTACTCACCAGTGTTCTGTACAATGGCATGAGCACTTCCCTCTTTCTACTGCTAATACCTCTCCCTATACAACCAAGCATTCTGCTAGCATTTCCTGCTGCTCTATTACATTGTCTGCCTACCTTTAAGTCATCAGAAATAATCACCCCTAACTCCCTTTCCTCAGATGTTGAGGTTAGGATTCTATCAAATATTCTGTACTTGCACTTATCCACATTAAATGTCAGTTGCCACAACTCTGACCATTTTTCTAGTTTACCGAAATCATTTGCTTATCCCTCCTGGAACATCAACCCTGTTACATATTTTAGTATCATCAGCAAAAAGACATACCTTACCATTGAGTTCTTCTGCAATATCACTAATAAAAATTGTGGCGAGACCAATCTCGCCACATTGCATTGGAGAAGCCTATTTGCCAGCCTCCTTCCACATGAGTATGGCCCCTGGGATATGGTGAAAACGTATGCACTTTTATTGGGCGTGTATGGCCCTTTAAGACAGTCAGTGGGCATATTGTGGCTTATGGACGCTTTATGGGTCATTTGGTGCTTGCCCTGTTTGAGCAGTGATACCCCAGATAGCTATGCCATGGAGCCCATTTGTATAATGAAAGACTATGGGAAAGACTTTGGCTCCATGGCAATTGAACTGTATGTGTGTGCTCTGAGCGCCATTCAGTAATAATGTGCGCTCAGATCTGAGCTATCTGAGGATATGTTGAATGTACCTGTTTTGTGCAATGGCTGCACAGTTATATGTTATGTGTTTTATTGTCTTTTGCTGCCATGTGTTCAGTGGAGTTTTGCCTCTGTTCTTGGAGATAATTGGATTACTTCCCAATTATCTCCAGGATAGAAGACTCTGTGGAACTGGTTGTGGGCAGAAAAGCCATGCTTCCTTTGGTCACAAAGGACTACAATCTATCTTGTAAACCACTGGACCAATTCGGATGATTTTGACATATCTTTGTATTTGGAGTATGCAGATTCTGAAAATGTAAGTGAATGTGATGCATAAATGAGATGTGATGCATACTTTTCAAGTTATGAATAATGTGGAAAATTTTTATTTCTCTGCTTGTGCTAAATTACATTACCCATTGTGTAAGGTAATTGAATCACAGGCAGAGGGGAGGATTTTGTGTGGGAGTGTCTGAGTGTATTGTATGTGTTTATTGGTTGTGTTCCAAAACCCTGTGGGTGGTACTAATGTGTATATAAGAACAATAAACCCACAACTCTGACTGTTCACTGCTTGACCCTCAACACAGAGCTTTGTCTCGTTCTTGAGGGGGATTTACTGTATGCTGTTAGAGACTGATTGCCAGGAGTGTAGGCCGCTTGGGTGCTTTTCCTATTCAGCTGCTAGCAGCTATTCGTGAGGTTCCAGTTTGGGAATTTGGAATGCTACTTGGTATCCTGTTCGGGAGTTTGGGGTTCTGCAGTAGCTGTGCCTGTGTCTCTGGAAGGGGAAGATCTTCTAAACTTTTTTTTTGGTAAATATCTTTTTATTAAACCTTTCGTTTTTGTTGGTTTTGCAACATGTAAAAGAGAAACGTGGACTCGCAGGTCTCTCTGGTCATTCACAGAAGCTTATACATCAGAAGGCATGTTATGACATGCGTGTCTGGGCGACTTGCAGTTCTCTTTCTTGAGTAAATAGCATGTGTATTGTGGACTCGAAGGTCCGGTGTTACATGGTGGTGCTTAGTACTCTGTTATATTTGATATGTACCATTTCTACGTTGGGTGGTTTTGCATGCCCCACCGTTGTTGTGTTTTGTTTGTCTATTCCCCATGCCTACCCTGTAGCCTCTAGGCAGTAGTGAGACGTGGCCATCTGGTGTGTAGGGTCCCTTCAGGACGCGCAGCCCCCTAGTGACCTTGTGTCCAGGGTCCTACATGGCAATATTGTGGGGTGTTGGCCCCCTACCTTAGTATGATTCGGTTCTGCCCAGCGGTATAGGTGTTGATGGGAATAACCTAAGGGGCATCCTGCGACTCTCTCCAAACTAATGAGCTTTATAGCTCACAAAACTGGCGCTCTTCCACCCCCCTTGCTCGCGAGGCCACCCCAGGCCCCGCAAGTGGTCGCACCCTAGCGGGTGTCGTAGCCCTCCCCGCACCAGCCCCCGGGTCGCCTGAACCCGTGCTCCACCCCGTTCTGACGGGGTGGGAGTGAGGTATCGCGTTTTGGGCCAGGTGTGGATCGTCCCGCTAGTCTCCTAGCGTCTCCTCCTGGGAGTTATCGGTTCCGTCCCCCATGGTCAAGTGCATAGTCCGAAATGCCTCTGTACCCACCCGTGCCAACCATGTGTCCATGTGTCTAAGTATGTCTGCGTTCGGTCTTGGGCTGAATACCAGATCTCCTCTGTGACTCGTAACTCCTCCATTCTAGTAAACCACAGGGAGAGTGTTGGGGTTGTGTCTTTTTTCCAGTACAAAGGTATTAGGTGTTTTGCGACGTTAAGGATTTGGATGGTCAGGGAGCGTTTGTAACGTCATGTGGGGGTTGTCGTGTGGTGTAGGAGGCCGGAAGGGTGGGACATTGTCCATGAACATGGCCCCCATGGCAGCTATTTGCTGCCAGAACGGTACTATGAGTGGACATTCCCACAATATGTGAAGAAAGGATCCTGCCCCTCTCTTGCACCTCCAGCAGAGGCCATCCGCGTCCAAGTGCATTCTCTGTAAGCGTTCTGGGGTCAGGTACCATTGTGTGAGAACCTTGTAGGCAGTTTCCTGGGTTTTACTAGCGATTGCGCAAAGGTGCACTAGGTCGCAGATCTTGTGCCACTGGGTCTCGGTAAATGTTTCCCCTACGGCAGTCTCCCATTTGGACATGAAGGGGGTGTCCCTGTTGTCGTTGTAGCATGGAGTAGAGGTAGGAAATGCTATGGGGCATGGGCTCCGGGTCCTGGCACAGCTGTTCGAATGGCATAAGGTCCCTATATACGTCGGGATGTTGTGGTATAGCGGTGATGTAGTTCTTAATTTGGGTGTATCTAAATGTCGTCATGAAGGGCTGGGTGGGTGTGCCCGTGAGCGACTGTAGGGACACGATTTTCCCATTGGTGGTCATGTCTCGGAGTCTGGGTACGGTTTGAAGGAGGACGCAGCGGAGGCTCCCCGGTCTTACCCCCGGTTCAAACTCCGGATTGTACGCCAGAGGCAGTAGCGGGGATGGGAAGGAGGAGAGGCGTAGTTTCCACGCTTGTGAGTGCCATACGGTTAGGGTGGCGGTGATGAAGGGCTGTTGGTGGACTAACCA